TCGAACACCAAACCCAAACTAAATATTTGAAAGATGCCCTAATCTCCAAAGCATTACTCTGGATCTGTAGCGCTGCGGTGAGTGACATATCAGAACCTCTTAAAGGAAGCAAAGCTCGGATTAAGCCTTCAGATGGCCCGGTGATTATTCCAGGCTACAGGTTCTGATCCATGCTTCGGCTTTTTTTTCTTCTGAGCGCAGACAGAAAGAGAAGATGGGCGCACCTCAGACTCTGGATGCGATTGGTCTCGGCGCGCCTGCAGTGCAGCAGTGCCGCCGCCATTAAAACACCATTGGTTGGCTTGTATCCGGGCAAGACGCGTGTTCCCGGTGTGCGCACAAAACAGGAATCCCCGGCTACAGCACAAAGGGACTAATACGAAAAACAGCGCAATAATAACCTGACATTTCAGACATCCAATTAACCAAGTTCAGTCCGTTCTGTGGAGCTTAAGCATTGAAGGAATCCTGCCCCAATTAAAGCTTTCCCCCATTTTTTTCCACTTGTCTGGGGATTTAAACGTTCACATTAGAGCCAATTTTTAGCCTTTATTAATTTCTTTTTTTCCACAGGTAATCGCACTAATGGGCAGTTGAAGAAAAAAAAAATAGTTCAATAAGGTATCATGGCAGGTGTTCAATATTCTTCATGGTTCTGTTCATTTTAAAGCTGAATTCCTTTCACGGATTCCCGTCATGTCTCATGAAAACTTGATTTTCGTGCAGGCTCAACCGGTTTCAAACCAACCGGGCTCGTACAGCCTGCAGGGTGAAAGTGATCAGAGAACAGAGAATAGACCGAAATCAGAGGCGCGGGGCTCCAATTCACTACTTAGGGAAACACTGTGGATAATTGACACGAAAAACAAAACAAAAAACCAAAAACACCACCACCAGAGTCTTCGTGAGTTCACAGTCTTCATAAGGGCTGAGCTCATCTGCCAGTCACCGCTGGATGACTGGAGCTTTAGTCACTTTGTTCATTGGAAAAGGCAGGGAGATCCCAGCCTGCGTAAATGAAACTATTAGTCTCTGGTGTTTTTATGTGCAATTTACACTCCAGTTTCTATTCCCACCCGTTTCCCCTTCAAACAACTTTTTTTCTGTGTAAAAACGACACAAAGACTCCTTTATGTGAGCAGCTTTAAAAAGAGTTTCAGAGGAATATTTGTAGCAGGCTCATTGGTGGGTTTGGGACACAACCTGAGAGGATGTTTTTCCCCCATTTTACAAACGGAACTAATGTTCACATCATAAAGAGCTCAAACAGTCGGGTTCAGTCAGTAATTTTGCCACGCGTGGAAATTTCTGTCCAATTCACGGCATTTAAACCGGATCTAAATTTAAAAAGGGCAGGCGGGTCAAGAGGTTTGCAACTGCGCTGATGTGTGGCGCAGTCCAAAATCTGCACTTAAGGATGTGTGCGGATCTGCGTGGGGAGTCTCAAGTGCTGGCCCACTCGAGACTCCCCTCGGAATAAAAGTTTGGCAATTCAAAAAGCACGTGTCTTCTGTGAGACGAGCCCTGGATCTGTTCATCACTCACACGCAAAATCAGCTCAACCTGACAGAAATCAGGAAGAGAAACAGCGCAAATCCTCCGAGCAGCATTTTGTGCAATTCTTCTTTAGATGATTGCAGTAAGAAACCAACTTGTTTGGTGTTTGTCACATTTTTTATTTGCTTCTTTACACGAATAAGCGCAAACAGCCATTAGAAAGGAAGTAACTTGGTCTTAGATCCTGCGGGGAATTTCCCGCTGTAGCTCCTCAGCTGGAACATCGCGGTAATAATTTGCGGGCTGCCGCTCAGCGTTTCGGAGAGACGCGAGAGAAGAGCGCGCACGGAGGAGGAGAGGACAGCCATTTTCTCTGTCGACGCTCATATTAATGCGCACAGAAAGCAGTTTTATTGGCGGGTTGGAGCAGAGGAAATGGTCGAGAGCTGCCATCTCTGTCATTGCGCTCGTCGGAATGTCAGATTTCATCGCTTTTCTAAAGATTATTTATGCACACACATTGTCGGAAAATACGGATATCGCGCATTTCCCCTCACAGCAGACGGATAGATGATGCATTCGTGTGGCAAGACAAAAATGTTTCGGGCAGCTTTAGGACTGAGCTCACCTGCACGAACCATCTCCTTCACTATACGCATGCATTAAACAAAAACGTGAAAACAATACCCCGCCTCGTGCCATTAAAGCTGAACCTGTAGGTAAAGCGAAGAAATCGGTTGCCTCCTGTTGAGTCTCTCAGCATGGCAGCAGGATTTATCAAAGAAACAGCTGGCGCGAACAGCTGTTCAGGTCAAAATTATGAGCTTTAAATTACAAACGTACTTCTTTAGCATTTATTTCAGCACAAAACAGACGTTTTGTTTTTCAGTCAAAGAATTCAGCGATTCAATATAGTCAATATTTAAGGTCTTTCTTTTACTGTTGCTTAATTCAGGCCTGTGATCGCTTTACTTTAAACTCAGTTGCTGATATAGGACAGAATTAAACTGCAAACTGCTGTAAAAAGCTGTTTTTTTATGGGAGCTAAAATAATTTGCACATATACAAGTGAAAAGGCCTGACTTTGAGCTCCAGTATGGCACACATGCTGGTGCAAAACAGCCTGTGGGATTGTAGGATGCTCATCTGAAAATACACCCCGGCTCTGTAATCCTTGTGGCCTGCAGCCCACACGCACGCACACACACAGACAGACAGAGCCAAGATCAGATTTAGCTTCTTCTGAGGCAACCTTTTAAGACAACGGCAGCCGTCCTCTTCCTGCTAAAACATTCAGCTCTCTGAGGGAAGCCGAGGTCACATCACGTGATTAAGAGTACCAGGGTACCCCCCTTTGCTATAGGAGCATGGAGAATAAACACATCAAACACACTCAGTTGCAAACAATTTTATTATTGCAAATTATGATGCATCATAAGAAGCCATTATTTTTTTCCTCTGCACACAAAAGCACACGGTGCTCCAGGTTGTCACAGAGCAGCTCAATCCACCTCCAGCAGCGCAGGAAGAGACACAGGGGATCAGAAGTGATTATGAAAAGTGCTTTTACACACTTCTAATTGCAGCTCCACTGCAAACTATGTCAAGACAAGCCTCTGGGATCCCATACATAATAACTGCACTGCCTTCACCGAACACGTCAGGGTGCCAAAGAACAGAGACATGAAAAGTTGAATCCAGAGAACCCAGCTGGTGGTATTAGTCTGTAAGATTAGACAGCTCAACTAGCAGATTTGTGACTGATGTCATTCAAATAAAAGAAAAAGAAGCCACGTTCAGTCGGCGTGCTGCTGCAAAACATAAATTATCAGAGTCACGGGCGACTGGCGCTCGGCATCAGAGAGGCATGGCTTAAAAAACAGAACAGAAGCAAACATCAAGCTCGAATAATCTTCCATTTAAAAGCCTTTTTAACAATGCAAATCATATTTATTGACAAAAAGGCGCTTCATTTTTCTTTATTTGCTTGTTTAAGCATGCCTAATGGCATAATCTGTCCAAGCAGCACGCATCCTTTAAATCTGTCCATCTGTTCGCACACACACGCACACACGCACACACAGTGTAATTTACCAGGATTCAATATAATTTTCTTCCTAACAAAATTCTCCATATAGCCTACATTTGTTTGACATTATCTGACATGTAGACGGTTGACTGTATAAAACGAGTTACATCCATAGAAAAGTGAAGCCAATTTATTTACACCAGTAAGTGCATCTTTAATTACATCCCCTCATTTGCTCGATCTAATTTTGCAGTTTAGGTTTCAAGAAGATACCGCATGTTATAAAAATCTCCAGAAATAACAACAGGTTGAGCTTATAAGAAAGAAATATGCAAATAGACAGTTTCTCGTTAGCTTATAAGAAGAAATATGCAAATAAAACGTTTCTCTTGTTATCTGAACTACCAATATACAAAATGAAAACAACATCAAGGGTCGATTTGTACATTCAAGCATCCAAAAATACAAATATATGTCATGTACATTTATACAGATGCACAGCTGGTACCCAGATTGTTACGCTGCTATGTACTCCTTGAACGTAACTGTGAGGCAGTTTGTGGTAATGTCCGTGATGACTATATTCCCAAGGAAAGGTTTGAAGGAGGGAAACGTGTCCTCCTTTTTCTGTTCGTGGTTAGAAACGGACTCGGCGTTCTCCTCTTCTGCAGGTTGTTGTGTTTCAAGCTGAGTTTCTGTTTGTGTGTCAGCCTCTGTTTGTCTTTCCTCCTCTGTGTGTGTTAGCGCCTCGGGCTGTGTGTGCGTTTCAGGCTGCGCCGTCGTGGGAACTGCAGCTTTAGGCCTCGACTTGACAATACTCAAGTCAATGGGCTCCACTTGGTCCACATACCCACAATCCTGCAGCCCGGGGTGACCGTGGTGTCCATTTTGGTCGATGTTGATGCTTTGGACAGGTGACGACGCTGTGTTGGGAGCGCTTATGCTCCTGGAGCTCAAAAACCTTTTACTGCCCTCACGTTCCTCGCCATCTGTGTCAGAGAGGTGTCGCTTTAGCCCCTGAAACCCACCTTGGCCTTCTCTTTTGTCCTGTGATGAGGGCACTCCCCTGTTCAAAGGCCGGGAGAGCAGATTAGGTTTGGTTGTCAATTGCAAAGGCTGATCCTCTGGAAGCTGGCCCTGACCCCTGACCTCAACATGTTTATCCTGTTCTGTCGCAGTTAGCTCCGCTTTCAGGGACGGTTCCTTTTCTTTGGGGCAATTTCCATTAAATCCAGAACTGAGAGATGTCGCTTTGTCTACGGGGCTTTTAGCAAATCCATTGATGAGGCCGAGCTTTTTGACGAGCTTCATCTTTTCCAGGTGCTTTTCCGCACCGCTGTCGGTGCCTTGCGGTGGCTTTTCAGCACCATCGCACTCGCCGTTTTTCACTTTAGCTGCTTGCATCCCGTTTTCCATGTACTTGCTCATGACGATAACAATCCGGCCATTCTTGTTTTTGTTCTTCACAATCTTTAGTTTGCTGCTGCTGACACCGTTGGGCTGTGGTAAAGCGTCCTCCTTAGGTTTCGGCTTCTCTTGCTCTTTGTGTCCGTTGAAGTTTGCCGGAAGCTTCTTCAACTCCATGGTGATATCCTTCACTTTGGTCAGACAGCCCGAGTCCTTGTCCCGAACCCACTTTTGCTGCAGCACCGGAGGAAGGTTATACTCTTTGTTAGCCAGCTCAGGAGCTTGGACGTCTATCTTGGGTTTAGCAAACATGGGCTCGTGCACCTTGATGTCTGGCTGGTAGTGATGATGCTTCTTGCTGTTGAGCTGATAGTAAAACTTCTTGCCGTTAGCCTGCTGCTCAGCCTCACGCTCCCTGCACAGCGGCTGGTACTGGTGGTGCTTCTTGCTGTTCAGCTGGTAATGCTGGGGCTGCGGACGAAGCATCTGGATGGGGCTGGCGTTCTGACAGCTGTCCTCATCCAGGGACGCCTCTTGTAGGTCAGCCAGGATACTGGACCTCCTGGCAAAGGAAGGCACCTGCGAGCAAACACAGTAATCAGCATTATTAAAAACGCCCAAGCCCCATCGATAAAGAATCGAATGATTTGTGTTGTTTT